GGCTACCTTGTCCTGGCTTGGGTGGGGTACGGTGTGTCCTTCCGACTCCTCCCATCTCAAAGATAGAACTCATGCCCCAACGAGGACCACACGATCGGCCAGGGGAGGTACGCTAAAGGTTAGGTACCCATGAAACATTCACAACATTCGGTCCACTGCGTAGGCTCACGCATCAAGGTCGCCCACTGCAATGTATGTAGATACTCGGGCCGGCAGGATAGCAACGTCAGCCTGTCCATGGCATCATACCATACCTAGTCGATCAGATTCGCATTGTCGTGTAGGTAGTGTAGACAAAGCATTTTCATGCCAGTGAAAAGATAGCAGGATTCAGTGATGGCCACGATACCACAAAACCTCACCAGGAACCACCTCTTTGTCAAGAAGCTGGCGAAATCCTGGGCTGATGCCCAGTGCCTTCTAATTTCTTCCGGTTTCTGCGAGGCGGTCAAGTTGGCTCATGTTGCGACTCTTCATTCAATACTTCTGCAGATTTTGCAGACCCGACACCACCCCTGGCTTCGCCCCGTGGACGCTGCAGCAGTGACCCGTCGCCGGGGAACCTGGTTGGAGGCCCGTCCCAGGACGCACGCCGCCCACCTCTGGGGTCGATCATGGGGCGTTCGGAGGCCTGCAGCGTGTGGCACCATCAGAAAGCCAGACAGGCAATGGGCCTGACGAGCCCGGCAGTCTCCCCAGTGCCTGCGCCAACCATTACCGGAACGGGTAATTGGAATCCTCCACGCATTCTCAGCCGCAACTCCCCAAGGCCATGTTTCATTTTATTTTTCGGTGGTCGTCTCAGCTCGTCCAGGCCGAGGTCTATCACGATCGTTCCATGTCTTCCACCGGCAAAATGCGCTGCACAAGTCGATGTCCTTCCAAGACTGCCAATGAGTTCTCTCCACGTCTCAGCGTCCATTATTGGGCTGATTTCCACATCCCTTGGCGCCGGTTCCTAGTCATCCGGGGCCACTGTGGCTGCTGCCCGGCACGATTTTGCCACCCAGTAATTCCCTTGTGCAAATGAGAACCCATTCCGCTGATCACATCACGGCGCCTACCTCAGTAGCGGAGGAGTGTCTTTAAGCACCATGCCGCACTGAAGCCGAAGCCAAGTTGAGAGTACGGGGACGCGTAACAAACCCGTGGAGTCAGTCGTAGGGGCTAGTACGACGATTACTTGTCAGGCAAGGGGCGATGACCTCACTTCTTACTTCGTGATACGAAATGAAGCATCACTTGAAACCAGCACACATGGTGCGGTTGATATGCTCAGATTACGAAAAAAAAAGCATGAAGCGATTGAGTACGAGGGTTTTCACTGCAATTATGTTGCTTCATGAGAATACCGACGCTGCATTGCGGTCATAGCCCCGAGTCAGAGGCTCCCTGATTACGTAGTCTCTTAAACCTTTCGCGAAATCTCATTGTCGATCCTGTCACCAAGATGCCGAACATGTACTGAGGCTCCAAAATACCCTGCCGTCTGCAAATTGAGCCAACAATTTGTTGAGCCCATACGCCTCTTGTGGCTACCAGTTCTGTTGTCGTTGAATGAGGAATCACGTGCCCGGACAAGGGGCCATGTACGACTCACGCTTTGACGCTCCTCCCCGGACAATTGCTTAGGTACCTTACCCATCCATGGCTGTCTGACAGAGACGAAACATAAGCCACCGCTGGCAGCTGGTGCCGGGGTCTTGTGGAAGTCATTCGAGGACCCCAGATGTAGGGCTGAACCATCCCGCCCACACTCGGTGTAAGCCATCCCATCAGGGAGGTGACCCGCTCCTGGTCTAAAGGGCGGCGGGGCTTGGCGACGAGCTTCCGCCGGTCGTACCGTACAGAAGAGAGGTCCTCTCACAGCCGTCGGCAACGGCGCAGTGGAATGCGTGGGTATAACCTTGTTCTCGAGGAGGGGTGGACGCGGACTCCCAAGTCCGGCGTTGCTGCGATTGAAACAGACGCTGGCGCCACATCACATATCCATGTACTAGTTTGATTGGGAGTGGGGGTTCTCCTTCCACTTGGTAGTCGACGTTCGATATTGTTTTGTGATCCGTACGATCCTCGCGAGCGGGTTCTGGGCGACCATACGTCATGAGTTCGTTGCGGCTCTCGGTCGGAGCGTAGGCTCATGAACAGCTCGTCGGGCTCCAATGCTGTCGACGCCTGAGCGCGCTCCATGTTGTCGCGAAGGGATTGGGAGGGACAACGATGGCGGAAGACGGGGGCAATTGACACCCCCACTCACTTACTCTAGAGGGGCCTCGGCCCACTGGAGGATGCCTTTTAAGACAGCCAATTGTAGGGAGCAGGGAGAAAGAGCAGACTTGCCACGGCGTCAATTTTCAGCCGGGCATTGCTAGAGAAACGGGTAAGTTGGCGAATCGGCGCGTCGAGCAGCAATACAGGCTGTTGTCAGAGCGTCCAGTGGTACGCAACAGGGGGGGGCAACAAGCCCTGTATCGCCACGATTGATCACTCCGTCGGCCTTATTTCAAAGACGGAATGAAATGGATTGTCGTCGGATAGGCTGTCCTCGTTTGCACACGATCCACAGGACGTGCAACCTCAAAGCCAAAGATTCCCATTGTGTTGTAGGATTGGCTCGCAGGTGCAGTTAGGTTCAGCTGCTGAGCGCGGTCGGCGTTTGTCGCGGGTGTGTCGATTGGGGCGTTCTCTGCTGGCTAGATGTCAGCACCCGGGAAAAGAAAGGAGAGTCCTCATCAGAGATTGATATATAACCAAGGCAGATTTCCAGGGTCTCGTTGGCCACAAGGACGATCGTTGTCGGTCAGTTTTCAAGAGATGCTCGGCATGTTGAATTCATGGTGCACGCGCCGCGCCCTGGCCACAATCGCATCGCCTGTAGTTGACACGCGACGTTCTCGTGGTCGACGCTTGCCCACTGGTATGGCTGCCCTGACTTGGGGAGGACTTTGAGCTTACGTACCGTATTCAGAGACTCTCATGCATGCGATTGCACTCGTGTTCGCTTGTTCCAAGTCTGTCGCTACTTTCGATGGTATCTGACCGTTGGATGGCTTCTGAAATAACATCAAGCTCGTCGGCAGGGAGCAGGAGTAGTTCGGCACCTTCTCAAGTTCTTGGTCGAGCAATAACTGAACATAGGGTCTTGTTGGGCGTGTAGGCTAAAACCACGTGCAGCAGGCGTGAGGTTCCAGCCATCTAGGTACTTTCCAAAGAGGCCACTATCTCACACCTTGGGGACTTTGTTCGCTGCTGCAATGTCGATGGCTTGATTCTGGAGACGCTTGTTGCAGAAGGCTGGTGGTTTTGAGCACGATTGAGCAAACGGATGGAAGGTTCAAGGCGCCGGCTGCTTCCATCAGTTGGAGGCCTGTAGCGCCCTGCTTGCATGCCAAGCTCCACCCAGATGCGTCGCGAGCTGGGTGACAGGTTTCTCTCTTCTGCAAGAATCGCTGGAGTTGTACAAAGCGTGTCGGGTTCGTGCGATGGCGAAGTAGGCACCCGTTGACCCAGTCTCCTGGGAAGGGGCACACGTCCGAGTCGATCGAGGCATCGCTGTACTGCTCGCAACCGTCAGTCGTTGCGTTCTGAACACTCCTAGGCAAAGGTTTGACGCAGTACCAACAGGAAGAAGCTTGACACCCACGCGACAGAGGTTCCTGACCTTTCGACTGGCGGCGTACCTGTTAGATCGTTCCAGATTGACGCTACGAGACGACGAGGACGAGAACGACTTGTTTCAACGTCGAGACAGCCGCCACTGTTCGGACGCAGAAAACGAAGAGTACGAGATTCGTGCGAGAGAGAGGTGGAAAACATCGAACTTCTTGCCAAAAAAAAAAAAAAAAAAAAAAAAAAAGATACAGTCCGGCCGGTGCACATTCATCTGGGCAAGGCAGGGTCAAAGGGGGAAAGGGCTGGCCGGCTCAGCGGCTGGTCGGGGTGTTGATGGCCACACCACACACGGCAGACAGCCTGAAAAGTTTTGGTTGGCAGCTCTCTTCTGCCTTCGGTAAGGTGACGGTCAACACGTCAGGAATCTCATTTCATTGGTTTCTTTCGCCCTCTTTCTCTCTGCATCCAAGCGGCCTCTGGGTGTAAATGAGCCTGGTCCGACAGGGCAACGGACGGCCCCCAACCTTCGCAACAGTTCCGTCGACACGGATGCAAAAGCGAAAGCTCTGGAAGACTCGCCTCTTTCCTTTTACCTCCCTTTCTTCAGCCATTGAACAGCATGTCGAGTCACAAGGCCGATCATTTCCCCTTGGTCAATTTGAGGTCGCTTGCGGTGCAGAACATCTCGGCGCCTAGAGTCCCTTGGCAACCAACCATAAGTACTCTGACGGCACCGGAAACGGAACCCCCACGAGCGCTTCAAGCAACGGGGAGTCGGCAAGTCGCAAGGGCTAACCACTTTCTGCAAGGCAGAATAGGAAGACCAAGGTGCACATGAGGTGATGGCCGCAGCCCGCGAGGCCTTCTCCTGGCCATTGCCCATATTTCTGTTGGGCTTCTTTCGCGACCGAGCGTGACAACAATCCAGTTTGCGTGTTCGATAATGGCCTCTGACGTCTGGTCCCTGCAGTGCCCCCTTTTTTCGACATGCATTTCAATCGACGAACAGGCTGCCACATTACGCACAGCAGATGAGAGGGTCATAAGTACATCTCCAGCGAAGAAAAGCCCCTGCAGACGTCGAATGCTCCTTGACCCCAGAATGGGCGGTGAAGATCATCGACTCTCTGCATGCTGCTGGGTGTCTATACGTTTATCTCTTCTTTTTGGGTGTACGTCACGCCCCCACAAGCCTGTCAGGGACGGAAGCAACTCAAGTCTGGGTCTCACAGGACCGCAATCGTCACGACGTACATGGTACTAGCCAGCCCTTGCCACCCGCTGTCATCTCTTTCTAGCAGCCCTGATCAACCGGCCTAAAAGTTGGCATGTGTACTACCCACCTGAGATTCATGACCAGGATCAGGGTCCTTGACATCCTCGAGACGGTTACAGCCCTGACAGCTAAGGTACGTCTCTTTGTTTCGCCGGCAGCGTCTTGTGAAAGCTGGGTGAGATTGCCCGGCCCCCTATAATTCCCCTAATTTCCGTGCATGGCGTCCTCGACACCAGCTTGCTCACCGCTCCAAAGACACTCTCTGTAGTCGGGCGAGCAAGCGGGTCTTCGACCGGCTGGTGCTGAAGAGCGACTAACATCAGAAGCAGCAACCTCGATGCAAACCCCTCCCTCCCTGCCTCAAACCCTGCACTCATCAAAGTCCATAGTCTCCCGTAACAACAGCCAGACCCATGCTGCCGTAACCAGGGCATTTGAGTCAGGAACTCATTGTTTTCTCGGTTAGAAGAGAGGCGACCAGGCAAAAACCATCCCAACCTGCTGGTTGGTTGAGACAGACGCCACAGGAGCACCCCTCGAGCTCAGAAACATCCCCTCGCCCCCCTCCAGATTGAATATCACATCCATTCTCTCAGCACGCCATGCGCTTTCCTTAACGCCTACAACGATTCATGCGAGGGACGAGAAACAAGCACAGGCGTAGGGTGGATTCCTTCGAAGGTTGAACGTGTTGGGGGGGCTCGCCGCGAGGTTCGAAAGGGACAACGACCCTGTCGCGTCTCAGCCTGGGCTTTACTGATTCGTAGTACGTTCATGTTCTGTGCAGTATGCGCGCTAAGATATTGGTTGGCCGCAGCGAAGCCAGAATTCTGTCTATCTTGTGTGCCCCAGTTCCCTCCTCTATGAGGCAAGTATGAAACAGCCTGAAGGTGGAGATTCTTCCGCGCTCAAGCTTATGCGTCAAAACGAAATGACAAACAGAGTGCTGGTGATGGATTCTTGCTAGTCTATTCTGCGGCTGTCCTCAGGGCATTTCACCACCTCTTGCCGTCGCCGTGCCATCCACCATGCAGCGGTACACTAGCCAGTCTCAGAGCGAGTGCCAATTACTTTCTCAGACTACACCGATCGACAAAGGGTCAGCAGGGGACCGGCAAGAAGGGAGCTGAGAAGGTCGCCCTACGAGCTCGGTGTCCCGGTCTGGTCACCTTTTTCCTGTGTGCTTGGCAAGTCGCCAACCGTTAGGCACTCCTAGCCCTCCTTGTCGTCCACCGGATCCTTGCCCATAGCAGAAACAGGGGATGAATCCACCCCCTCCTCCTCCTCCTCCTCGAGGATGGGCATGAGCTGATCGGCGATTCGACTTGGAGCTCCGGGGCCTGCGTGTTTGCGAGAGAACGACCATGGGGTGCCAGGCCGGGTGGGGGGGCTGCCCTTGCGCAGGCCATTGTCGTCCGAGCCATGGCAGCACGCGTCCCCGTCATAGTTCAAGGCTGTGGTGTCGATAGCTCCGTGCACATCATTGATAGGTATGGTTGCGATGGTGCCGTCTGCGGCCCGGCCCTGGCCGCTAGGGTCAGAGGGCGTGTTTGGCCCCATTGTCCCGCTGTCAGCCCTTTGGGTCCCGGCGTGGGAGGGTTTCGCTGGCGATGATGTTTGTTGACCGGAAGAACGCCGCATGGCTGAGGATTGCTGTGTGCTCGAAGTAAAGAGTATGGTGCGGGCAGACACGAGCAGGATGAGAGCTTCTGGAGTTGTCAAGGGGGAGAATAATGCTGAAACTCATTGTCCATCTCATGTTATCTAGGGCGAGGATGCACCCCGAATTTTATGTTTCCTCATTGTTCATCGTCGAGTTGGCCGACTTCAGCCGCCCCCGTTGTGTTTTCTCCTTTCTCGTCGTAGGCACAACGCCCACCAGACACATCGTGGGCATTTCCTGTGCGCTCCGCAAGACTGGCGAGCGCAGCGACCGGGGATAGAGGCCACTAGCGCCTCCCGTCCCGCCATGAACTTGGTCTCTCTCGCAACAAGGGTGTTCTCATCATCATCTGGGCAGGATGGGCGGCGGAGGCGGAGTAGAACAGGACATGTCGATCAGGCCCTAGGTGCCTCCGCAAGTAGGTAAGGACAGAATGGCCATCATGATCAGAACTCATGAAAGCCGGCTACCTTGAGATGTGACCAGGAATGTGCCCGTGTGCGAGTCCAGGTACAAGCCGGGGTGGATGGGTCAAGCGGGTTCGACACCCATGTGCGACGATCTGCCGCAAGACCTTGTACTACCATAGACGCCACCAGAGACGAACGTCTTACCAGGGACTTACTATCACAGGGGATCACCACTATTGCCAGCCGGAACCCTGGGTCGCTAGCACTTGGGGGCCGGCTGTCGTGTTTTGCTTGCACTCAAACGTGCGGACGGCAGAGATTTATCCCAATAGTGGCATGCACGATTGTGTGCGCAGGATGAAAAAGACGGACGTGCGCCGGGCTGGCGACTAGTGACGTTGAGCTTCAAAAAGATAAGTCAACATCTTTAATCTTGGTGTTTTTTTTTTTTTTACATTGGCAATGTCAAGAGGCGCCACAAAGGACGAAAGCTGCCATTGCGTGTTCGATGACTGAGGCCGTCAGGTTTCAGACGCAGGCAAACCGGTGAGAATCCGCGGCCACGACTGCAGCTGCTGGGCTCTGCCCGCGTTGTCGTGTCTTCTTCAGCGATTTCTGGGAACGTTGGCGTTCGAAGTGCGGCATCGAGTCTGACTCGGGCCCATGGCTTCACTGCCTTACTCCACTGTTGGGGATACAGCCGGTTGCTATCTTCCTCGAGCGTTCGTCTCTCAGACCAGGATCAAGCTTTGTTCTTTGTCCCTAGAGCGCTCTGGCCTGTATACGAGATGGCCCTTGCCCTGTATGAAAGAGCCATTGTCCCTCCCAACTCGATGGGACGGGGAGTGTGTGGAGTGGCCACTCAAGGCAGGTTGATGGTCAGAACTTCAATTCTACATGCGTGTTGGTTGAAGCGCAACTCGTGGGCTACTTCATTCCATCTGTGAGCCCCTCCTTGATTTGCCACTCATCCTTGAAGTCTCAGACTACTGTGGAAAGGTGGCGCGGCTACCTCATCAGGCATATAGGGGGGCATTGCCTTGGGAGCCGATTGGGAACCATGCTTCCGCTTGACAAGGCTATCTTCAGCCTCTGATCAGGTCCCACTTGGGATGTCAGTGTATCTCAAGCGTCCCACAGGAAGGGTGTCATGGAGCGAAGAGAAGGGTCAGTGGGCTGAGGACGGAAACCGGCTCATTGGGGATCGGCGCCATCAAGACCTTGCAGTCTCCCGCGGGTTGAAGCGAGCCAGGGAGGGGTGCACTCGGCTGTTGATGCCGTTCTTGACAGGAGCCATCAAACAAGTCCAACCGAAACGCACAGACAGCGTGCCGACTTGTGCGCTGCTCGGTGACCTGATTGATCGTGTTGGCAGTTGGCGAATGTGGTGCAGAGCATGGGTCTGTGTGGTGTTGTAGGAGCGAGCAGCGGAGGGGGCTCAACAACTACGAGGGGTCGCCGTGTTGGCAATGTGCCAAATAGCTTCAGAAGACCTGGTTGGTGGTGTTCAGGAGCACTTACAACGTCAAGCCTGCCTTGGCGGCTGTTTGGGGTATGACTTTTGTTTCTCTTGGTAGGCGTTCAGGAGGGTGATCTACCACACGCGTCCGTGTCCTGAGATTACTCCCCCAAAGCGCGTCACATCTTGACGGGGAGACGGGGGGACGGAGACCTGCCGGCCTCATCGCACGACTGGCCCTGACGCCCTACAATACCTAGACAGTGCCTTGATTGCCAGGGTGCCATCGGCTCACGGCGAGTGTCTTTCGTGCCCTGTCACTCGCATGCACACCTGCCTGGCACAAGGAAATGGTGTCTATAGACTCAAGTAAAATTTCCTTCTAGATCGATCATGTCCTGTGCGGTCCGTCTAAGGGTATCATCATACCGCACCATGGCTATCGTACACCGACAAGCAGGCCTTGTCTAGCTCGCCGCCAAGATCTCCGCCGCATCCGGCGCGGAACTGTGGTCTCGCTTGCCGTCCGACGCCCGCAGCACCTCAGCCTGCCTCTGCAGCCGCTCGGCCTCCCTCTTGTTCTCATGGCTCACATAGGTGCCATAACGCAGCGTGCCCAGCGTCAGCACGGCCATGAAGAGGATACCCAGGACCGATCGCCGGATGAGCACCCAGCGCAGGCCTTCAATCTCCGACTTGGCGTCGCTGCTCAGCGAGATACTGATCTTGTAGTTGATCTGCTGAATCTGGGTGTGTGTCAGTGTCCGAAAGAGTATCCTCTACTGCAGAGAGAGGGGGGGAGGCCGCGGTACGTACAATGCTGTCGACGCCCTTCTGCTCCTCGCTCACCGCAATTTTGCGGTCGTTGAACATGCCGCGCACATTATCATTCAGCGTAAGAACCTCCTGGCTCAGCGACTGCGTCAGAATGTCCACCTCGTGCTGCAGCAGGGTCCGCTGCTGCCTCATCTCCTCGTCGGCGATGCGCTGGTTGTTCTTGACCTCGGTGCTGAGCTCCGAGCACGCGGCGCGGAACAAATACGTCTCCTATCAGACTTGGTCAGCACATGTCCAACCCTGGCCGACGAATGCACAACGCCCCCCCCGCCCCCCCCCCCTTCCTCAGAGGCAGCGCCACGTCCACTCACGTTCTCGACGTCGCTCTTGCTGACGAGGCTGTCCTGCGCGACGTCCAGGTTCTGCGCCAGGATCCGCCGCACGGCCTTCATCACCGACGTGGCCTGCACCTCGGTGTACCCGCCGGCCTGGAGCTGCCGCACGAGCGAGTAGCTGTCAAAGTGGTGGACGTAGGGCGGCGGCGACAGGTGAGGGTGCTGGCGCGCGCCGCCCTCGTCGGTGCCGGGTTCGGGCATCTGCAGCATGGCCTCCAGCGGGCCGCTCTTCTTCGCATCCTGGCGCGCCTCCTCGCGCGAGTCGGACGCGGCGGCATCCTTCCCTTGGGCGTCGGACTCGGCGCTCGTGTCGGCGGGGCCCTGTGCTGTCGGAGGGGGCGGCTGTGCCTCGGCAGCTGGCTCGGTGGTAGGGGTCGTGGCGGCGGCGGCGGCGGCGGCGGCGGCGAGCTCCGAGTCCTTGGCGAGCGCTTCGGGGCTCGGAGGCGCGAGGGGCGGCCTCATCTCGTCATCTTCGGCCGGCGCGGGGCAGAGGCTCGACGGCCTTGCCGTGGCGGCGGGCGACGGGGGGCGCGCGGTGCGAAGGCTGTCGAGAAGACGGCGCGCTGGCGTCTGGGGTCGGCGTAGCGCTTGCGGGATGTCCTCGTGGCCTGGACGACGCCGGTGCTGACCCGCAGAGGACGGAACAGAGGCGGGTAGAGAAAGGTCAAGCGCGCTGTCGACATGGTGGTGTTGTGTGCAGGTGTTCGAAATGGAATGGCTGAGCCATGCCATGACCATGACGTTGGACAAGGCATGGATCGAGACTCGGCACTTGCCTATGGTTGGGTCGGTCCGGATGACCGCTCAGGCGGAGGGGAATCAATCACGTGGCAGCTGGAGCGGGTCAACCAGCATGAGAATTTTGAACATCTTCCGAAGAATATTGAATATCTTCCGAAGAATATTGAACATCTTCCGAAGAATATTGAATATCTTCCGAAGAACTTGAACATCTTCCGAAGAATTTGAACATCTTCCGAAGAACTTTGAACATCTTCCGAAGAATTCTGAAGATGAAGAAGAATCAGCCACTGTGGACCGGCAATGCACTTGCGACATGTCACGCCATGGCAGATTCAATTGTCCTTGGGGGCGAAACCCATGTTCTCTCTTTACTACCTTACTTCCTGACACACCCAAATCCCTTCCCGCTGTCTTTAGCACAGCAGTTTCGTGCTGGCCCCTCGCATCCGCCACACGACTACAGGAATGGGGTTTCAGTGCTGCGTTGGCCTTGGTCGGCGATGGGCGAGAGATCATGACGTTCTCGGGCATCATGGTACCGTAAACGACGCCCGTGTGTCGCATCTTCGACTCTATATCAACAAGTTCTTTCATGACCAGCATGCGCTGGTCATCGTTTCCCGCATGAGGGCCCGGGACAAGCGCAGGGATGCGGTTATACGGCACGGTGCATGATGCGCGCATCGTCGAGCCGTCAATGTGCTCGAGGAGAATAAGGCACACAGGTCTATATTTGCCCGCGATATGGCTGCGCATCGGCATCGTGAAGGCGCCGTAGTACTTTGGTGCGAACTGGCCGTCCGTGCCCATCGTCTTGAAGTGCTGGTAGACGGCGGCCTCCCTGCTGAGATCCATGTCGGCCTGCCTGACAACATCGCTGGCATACGGGAGAGCACATGCCAGGAAAGGGTAGTAGAGCGGGTCGTAGATCTTGGCAACAACGCGAGCTGGGATGCCTTTATGCATCTGGCCCAGATTAAGTTTACAAACGACAACCTGTGAGCCCCTCTCCTTGGTGGTCTTGATGGTCTTCTCGATGGTCAGGCCGATGTGCTGAGAAGACTTGGTACCATCATCCGTTGGCCATGCGGCACCACGGGGAAGACACTCGGCGACCAATTGGCTTCTGGTCTTGTGCTGCTTGATCACGGCATCGCCATCGCCATCGAAAGTCGAGGAGGGATCAGAAGGGCGATAGTAGGAAGGACCATCGAATGGTTCAGGCGCCTCGTGGGGAGTGATCATTAACTCGCGGCCTTGGTGGTAGGGGAAGTCTTCATCGTGGTAGGTGTCCAAAGGAGGCATCCACGGATGGTTGGCCATAACGACGTCGCTAGAGAAGGAGGTACGTTGACGAGACACGGGTCATGAAAATGGCGTACGAAAGACGCGACCTTACAAGTCTTGTGTGGCTAGGGCTTTGGGGAGTGTCAGGTGAAGTGCTGAAGTACCTTACCTTTTAAGGTGCCTTAGGTAGGTAGGTAGGTACCTGGGGAGAGGTGATGAAGAGGACCAACTTGCTGGCAAAAGGTCAAGTTGTCAGCAAAAAAAATATATCAACAAAAGAGAAACACGAATTGCTATCAGACAGTGAATGCAAAGAAGGCAAGGTGGACAAGTATTATGTCTTGTGGAGGGGAAGGCGTATTCTTTATAAAGAGGCGTGCGGACGGCAACTATTTGTCTGGCGTGTGGGGCGCCCCAGGTGTCTAGATATGTTATTTGGATACCAGGATACCTTACTTGGATGAATATCTTGGGTTGCTCACTGCGTCACGTTGAAGGAAATTTGAGTTTAGGTCTACCAAGTTGCCCGCCGCTCTCCATCATTTCTCAGCATGTACAATTTATGTCAGTAGAGTTCCATTGAATAAGGTACCTAATGATCATGTTATTGAAGGCCTTGGTTTCCTACACTTTATGAATCATGTGCCGCATCGAGAGTGTTCCTGTCTCAAGTTCTGATCAACTCAGTCGCTATGAGTCGCGGAAGCACAATAAGGCAGTTCCTACTTGGCTCCATAAACGTAGGTAGGCGAGGAAGCGAGACTGTAACCCGAGTTATAAACGGCAAAGTATGGTTATCATCGACAGTGGAAGTGTATAGGATGGCGATGGCCTGTTGCGATATGCCCTTCTTGTTAGCCCTGGAGTCCAGTCAATGATACGATTCACACAAGACCTGCTTTCTTTGCATGTATTGATCGATTGCGCGCACGGGTCAACGTATGCTGACATGATCTTGATTTGCATACTGTAGTGGTACTACACAAACCGGGATTGGCATCACATGTTGATGCAGCTATCAATGCTAGTTCACGCCAGTACTACAGATTCCCATGCACCGGTGCACCGCCCTCCCAGCAACTAGTGTATACCATTTTAATGTCCCAGCCAAAATGTTCACCCCATCGTGGCAGCCGTAACAGGGCCACCAAGCATCATCCATACCCAAACCCCAAGACCATTATGAGGGACTGCCCGACGTATCCCTCGATCTTACGGCGAGACAATGAAAACCCAAAAAAGAACACGTGGTAAATGAAGAAGGGGGAAAAAAAAACCCGTAACGTCTTGCGCCGTATGAGTTTTGCTGTCCGGAGAACCCGGCCGCCTCATGGTCCGGGCTAGCAGTTGTAATGGCCGTATTGTCCAGTTCTCTCGCAATATTCGAGGCCGTAAATTCAAAGTGAAACTGTCATGAACATGTGATTAGGAATTGTAGTGACGCCATGCCCGCAAATCGGATACAGGCGTTGTGGCCGGTCACGGCTGTCAGGGGCGCCTGCCAGTGACACGGCCAAGTAATGTTGTAATACATTGTCGAAGAGACCCATGGTTGATGGACTGTTGATGAGATCCAACTAAAATGATACGGCGGGTATGCTTTAGGCATCCTCGACCTGCACTTGGAGGCTAGCACCGCGTGGGTGAAGCTGGGCCTTGCGATCCTCCTCGGCTGTCTCGCCAACGGCGCTCGCGTTCGTGCTGGGCGGGCTGCTGCTCTGAGGACTGTTAGGCTCCATCGTCAGAACGGGTGTGGGGGCTGACGAATCAACCTGCAGAGCCGGTGTGTTCTGTCCAGACATCGCCTTGCTACTGCCTGGACGGGGAGGAGCGGGGGAAGAAGCGGCGAAGATCAGGCGGTCGATCGCAGCGATCTGGCGGCCAGTGCTGGTCTTCTTGAGGGCGATGAACTGGGGCTTCATTTCCTCGATAAAGGCTTCGCGATCGGCACCATCAAGCTGGTTGAGAAGCTTCTGGATAACATAGTTGCCATACTGATCCTTCATCATCAGCTGGAGGGGGCTGGTGCCATCAGGCCCCATGGTAGTAAGTTGCTCGCGGATCGACTTGCGCTCCTCGGGTGAGCCATGTTCGATACACTTCTCAACAACGTTGGACGCAAACTTGTGCTTCGACAGAGTCACCAGCTGTGACGTGACCAGATGAATCATCTTGGCCCGGTCCTCGGGCTTGCCGTGCTGAATGACATGCTGGGTGACATAGTTGCCGTATTGATCGGTGATCAGGACCTGGGCCGAGTTGTGGAGCTCTGTGAGAATGACCTCCTTGTCTTGGTCTGTGCCGTACTCTAGCATACGCTGAATGACGCGGCACCCGTACGTGTGCGCGGCGAGCTGGCTGACCTGGCCGCGGAAAGAATCCATGACAAAGTCGATATACTGACGGGGGACCAGCTCGATGACCTTCTGGACAACGTGGTTACCATTCTGGTCCTTGACAACCTTGACGATATCAGGCTGGAGCTCGTCGACCAGCTCCGCCTGCTGCTCGACAAGCACGTGCTCAAGAGCCTATTCGAGTTAGTTTGGATGATACCGGGCGACGACAGCGCGAACATACCTTCTGCACTACGCGACAGGCGTACATCTGCATCGACAGATCCACGACCTTGCCCTTCATCTGCGCAGCCAGCACCTTCTTCTGAACCTGGTTGCCGTGTTCAAAGAACTTCTGGATGACGTAGTTGCCGAACACGTCCTTCATCAGCTGAACGGCGTTGGGCTCGATCTCGCGGAAGATCTGGTCCTTCTCATCGCTGTTGGCCGTCTCGAGCTTCTGCTGAATGAACCTGGAGCCGTGTTGATCGCCGCTGAACTCAACAACGTGGCCATAGATGTCCTTGAGGTCGTAACGCTTGTTCGACTTTGAACTCGACCTGAACTCTTCCAAAAGCACACTCCGCACGCCTTTGCCAGAGTCCTGGTCCTTGGCGGGCCGCGCGGGGACGTGTCCCGTCAGGGGGTAACCCATGGGCAGACCATAGCCGGGAATCATGGGCGCCCGGCCGGCAAAGTCGTACAGGCTGGGTGGGAACTGTGCAGGATACTGGCCCGTGTAGTACGGTCCAGGGAAGAACGGTTGAGCCTGGGGCTGCATGTAGGGCGCGGGGGTACGCCTCTCAGCGTCGGGTACCATTCTCGGATCCCGGTGGGCGGCTCGCTGGCTCCAAGGGTCGGTGGGGTGCGGCGAGTACGACTTGGGCACGTTGGCGACACGGTAGGCGGCGGGGGCCGGGGAGTAACGGTCGACAGACGGGCGCTTGCTGGCCAGATACTGCGTCATGTAGTCGCTGTAGACGTCGGGGGCATGCTGGTTGAAACCACCAAGCCAGGGCTGCGATCCAGGGTTGAGCTGGAACGACTGCCCGTTGCCGCCGTTGGACAGGACCTGCGACAGCGCCGTGGCATCATCAAGGGTGAGGCCTTTGCTGAACTGGCTCGACAAGTCTGCTTCATCCATCCTGCCGTTGGTCATGTAACTTCGGCTGTTGTTGTTGTTGTTGTTGTTGTTGTTGTTGTTGTTGTTGGTACTGTTGCTCTGTGAAGGGAAGGACGAGGAGTGGCCAGGAATGGAGGGACGCTGGGCATGAGAGGCAATGGAGTTGCTAGGGGTATGTCCGGAGAGATAGCCAAAATGTGTCTCGGAATGCGGGAGGCGAGTGGTGAGACTCCTCCGAGTGCCTCGAAGGAGGAATGCTGCCATCTCGGGAGGGCGGGGCGCCCACGGCACCCATGGTCATGAAGGTGCGTTCCTGCGAACCGCGCTTCTCGTGCCTGGCGAAACCGCGCTCAGCCTCGTAGGCGCCAAAGTTGGGACCATAGCTCGAGTTCTCCTTCTCCTCCTCGAGGAACGACTTGGGTCGTCCATTCGCGAAACGCGCTTGGCCGAACGCACCGTTGGGATTATCGAAGAAGAGGTTGTCGCGTGTACGGGTGGGCGACGTGCTGCCTGACGTCGATCTGGTTTGCGTGGAGTCAGGGTTCCACGGCCGCGTCGTGGTCCACGCAGAGGTGTCGGCTTGCGAGTCGGGGATGAGAGCACCAGAGCCTGTGGGCAGGGCGTTGTCAGATGCTACGACGGCGAAGTGTTAGCCCAAGCTACCTTACGCGAGCGATGCGCTCTTCTGCCTGCAGAGAGACCTACCTCGCTTGCTCCCTTGGTAGGCATTCTCCCAAATGCCCTTTGTCGATGGGCGGAAAGCCGCCATACCCTTGGCGGGGTTGTCGTCGCGTGTGTTGTTCATGTTGAAGTTTCCGAAGCCTCGTGCTCGTGCCTAGTCAAACGAGCGCAAGCGTCAGTAATCGGGCAATGGATGGCACATGGGCGATGGAGATGCAGAGGCAGAGGCAGAGGCAGCGTTGCGAGGATGGAAAGTTCAACCTGCGTCAGCGTCGCAGAGGCTTGGGGCTTCCGTGCTGAGCCAGCGAATCAAGCCTTTGAATCGCTGGTGCGCTAGGGATCGGTCTTGTGGGCGCGCGGCCTCGGACGACCTTACGCCCCTCTCCTCCCTCTGCTCCATCCTCCCTTTCCAGTTGTAGACTGTCGCTCGCTTAAGGGGGCCCATGTTTGACTTACCGCGGTTGTCATTATGTTGCGTTACTTTGAAGGGCGGGAGAATCGAATCACTCTATCGTTGAAAGTTACGCTGGTCTAGCCAGCTGGGCAAAGACTTTTTGTCCTAAGTGGAATTGCGATGTACGTGCGTCTCTCGGGGGCGTGCTCTGCGACAGCAAATGTGGGCTTCGAGAGTCAAAAATAAGGGCAACCTGCGCCTAGGTAGTGTTTGGTCGTCGTCGTCGTGGTGAACGGCGTCGGTCTATTATATACGCTCTTGTTGTCTGCGCTTGTAGCAGAAGAGCGAAAGTAAATTAATACGTGCGTCAAGTCACCTCTTTTCGTTCTAGAGTGGCAAAGACCGGTGGCTGTCAGCTAGGTACGGGCCCTGGGGGCTGGAAATCCGTGAGGGTGCAACGATGCTGTGTGTGTGTGCGCGTGTATGTGTGTGTGGTTTCGGAGATGTGAAGAGACGGGCGGACAGAGACGAGACGAAGTGATCACAAGGGGGGGTGGGGGGCAAGAGTATGGGGCGAGATCTGGTTCTAGTACCAGAACTCGTGGTCCTCTGTGCAGGCTCGGCTGGCGATGCTCGAGGTTGATTGAGGGCGACCAGGGGGGGTTGTGGAGGACAGAAGAAACAGACTACCTAGGAACAGGGGAGTATGGTGGATGAGGAGGAGGAGGAGGAGGAGAAGTAGTAGGCGCGAGCAGCGAGCACAGGGCAAGACAGGATGAGGGTTGTTCGAAGCGCGCTGGGGTTGGTGGTGGTGCATGAAGCGACACCAGATGAATTGAATCGCCCCCGATTTTCAGAGTGCTGCGTTCTTGAAAGCTTGCTTCTGGGTGCTGGCAGGGTGGAGATGGGGGGCGGTACGCAATCGTAAACCTCAAGGGTGTTTGTTGGGTTGGTGAAGGAATGCTTGTGACCCACGATGAAAAGGCAGAAGCAAAAAAAAAAAAAAAAGTCATCAACGTACCAGACACGACGGTATTCGAGCCCCAAAACTCCCTTTTCCGTCGAGATCCTTCGACTCCTTACTTCTCCTGGCTGTGACGCAGTATGGTCGATCTGCAGTTCGAGGACGGGCAAGCCGTCTTCCGTGGGACAGGGGTGCGCAAAAACGAGTGCGCAAAAACGACTCGACAGTGGCTGATACCCGTGTGGTTGTCTCCGCAGCTAGAAACTGGGCCGCGAAAAATAGGTATCGTTCTCGCGCAAGATACTCGGTTGAGGCTCAGGATGGAACACCACACTGAGTGATGAATTGCCTGGTACTTGGAAAGGCTTCCAGCAGACTACGAGGAACTGCGTGTCGTCGTGTCTTGCTGTCGAAAGAGCGGAGAGCCTGCTTGATACAGGAAAAGAACTAGGATCAGGGGAGATGGATGTCCAGGGAGGTCCGTCAATGGGCGCGGTCCGCTGGTAAACGAGATCCAGTGATGTAGGGCTAGCTGGCAATTCAGCTGACGTGCAGCTTGACTTGCTGACTTGGTCGACGGTCTGGTAGCGTGGAGGCACACTACACGTGCAGACACGATGATGATGATGATGATGATGATGCTCTTCCTGCTGCTGCTGCTGCTGCTACTCAAGCCAACTCCTCGTCTTCTCGTTGACGCCTGGGTTCTTCTCGCCCAAACACAGGAGTGCAGATCAAGGGGGGCCGTTGTTGGAGGGCCTGGCCCAGGGGGTCGCAGCACGGCGGGGACGATAAGTGGATGACTGTCACGGGTGGGGGGAGGGCTGGCTGGCTTGGGGGCTTCGGAATTAATTAAGGTGCTGGTTAGTGTTGACAGGGACCCAGAAAAGCCAAGAGATGGGAACTGGATACTGCCAAGACGGTAGGGTGCTCGTGTCGCGGTGTAGGTAGGGTTTGTTTCCCAGCCACGGTTCGCAAGGGAGGGCAAGAGAGGCGTTCGTGTTTCGGAAGCTTCGAGCCTGATGGCGTGCAGAAGAATGGAAACCTGGCGAAGGGAATATCTGGCGTGCGTTGTCGAGCGGAGGGGCGGGTAGTTCCTTTACTGATAACTTCCAAGTGATGGACGTGTGTCCCGTGTCGTCGATCGATCTTGATTAGGCTTGTGATGTTCGGCGCGGCGCAGCTTCGTCCGGTGCCGTGGAGGAATATGATTTCAAGAAAATTTATAGAGTCGGTCGACTCGTGTGTAGTAGATGCAGATCTGCAGAAGCTTTGTTCGTGGATGCAGCTATGTCGTGCTGTGCGGATGCCAATGCTTTGGGTCAAGCCCCAAGAAATGGGCTTCTTCGACGTCGATGTGTACAGAGCAAGGGAACGTACAGTACGTTGAGGGACGAGTCGATCGAGTACGAAACCCAGACCCCTTTGTGTGTTCTAGATGGTCGATATGTGAGGCGCGAGCAAAGTACGGATGGCAGAAATAGCGGCAGCGGCGATGCTGAATACACTTTTCTCGCCCGAGACTTGTGAGGATGAGCAGCAACTCGGTGGGAAATGGCCGGGCTAGGGACAGAATGGCAGAAACGTGCAGCGCTGGTAACGAGGCAAGCAACTTTTTGTACTTCAGCAACGTCCAATTGTCGGGCTGTTGTCTGTCTTTCGGTCTTTCGGTCTTTCGGTCTGTGACTTTGTCGTCTCGGCTTGTGTCACCTGCAACAGAGGGCGCAGGCGTGAGAGTACAGAAGGTCCGGATTGTCGATTATATGGCAAACCAAGCAACAACGCAGGTACTTAGATACTGTACTTGTACTGTATGTGCGGTATATGAACAGAAAAGATGGCCGACGCGTTGTCGTGTGTACTTGAGGGTGATGATCTAGACGGATGGATGGATGGTGCAACGTTGACCAAAAGGCGTACCGACCAGCGCAGTTTTGTATTGGTGAAGGGGGAACGAACTGAACTCGACCTGGGCTTGGAAGGGTGCCATGGCAGATGAGGCCCACAAGGGACATGCCAGAGGGAACAATATCGAGGGACGTGACGGGTCCAGACGGCTAGCACTTGGACGAGACTATCGGCATCGTCCTAGTCGAGGGTCTCTCCTCACAAGGCACCTTGTCCACCGCAACAGATTACTCAGGTACCATGTATGTATGCCCTTGACCGACCTCGACTCGGCTACCTTACGGATGACAACCAATGCACGGTACTTTCCCCCAAAGCTGCCTGCCTGTCGCCCCTCTCTCTGTTTGTGCCGCTGGGAGTGAGCACTGGATACCTAGGAAGGTACCAAGACAGAGCGCGCCGTCGTCGAGGCACAGATTCCCTCCCCAGGGAGGATGAGGTCGAGGGCGACTTGGGCCCAGTGGAACCCGTGCAGGCAAAGACAACAAACAGGCATAGCAAAAGGCATGGTCGACCACATTTGGATCCTCTTCCCCCCCTTGAGCAGCGACTATTTCCCCTCCTCAACCAAGGGGTGGCCCTCAGGCTTCGGCCAATACCCAGACGGGGAAACGCGGGAGGCCCAAGTTGGAATGCTGTAATGTCGTGTCTGCGTCGCGCTTGCGCGCTACCATTCTTGGTGTGCGCTGTTTGGTGTTTGACGCATGAAATGATTGCCAGCGGCGACGCCTGTCGTTTGGTCATCGCTGGTGTTGGTGCTCAAGTCTTGGTACCTGAAGTACCGTAGCTCCAAGAGCCCGTCAACGTCCAGCTCCTCTAACTAACTGTCTGGTCTGATCGTAAACTGGATGATGAGATGGTAACGCCAGGGTCCAAATGGCCCCAAAATCCTGACTACCTGCCTGTAGCCCCAGGGCCCCGCTCCAGGGGTCGCGCACGCCCCCAACCCCCTAACCGCTCGCCCTCAGCGGCCTTTGGTGGAGGTGCCCAACACCAACATCACCCTTCGATGCTACTGCTTGCCTGGGGTGGAAGGTACCCGTCCTTAAGGTGGTACCCAAGGCACCTAGGTAGGTACCTACCTGTAGGTAGGCAACGAAAGAACTATGCAGTAGGCTCGCCACCCTTTCATGCTCCCTTCTTTTCCCCTGCTGTGCCCCGTTATCTGCGTGCCTCAACTCCGCAGTCGGCAGCATGTACATGTAGCAACAGCACCAAATCTGCGTGTACATGTAGTAGATAAAGTCTGCCAACAAGCGATTCGGGCAACCTGTCATGGCCTCGCCCACTGCTAGACCATCACACGACTTGTGTCAAAGATTGAACCCCAGATCCAATCTTCCTTGCAAGGCCCGACATCTTCCCGCACGCGTGCGCCCCCCCATCAGCTCCCCCGCTCTGCAAACCTCCTCTGAGGTCCAACCCCGGACAGGCCCACTGGGGGGGACGTTGTTCCAGTGTTTCAGCTTCCCGACGCCGCGTTGCCTGCTTTGCAACAGTCTTTTAGGATGGGGGGTCAAGAAGCACGTCAGCCCTCGCCCTCTGGCAACTGGGATCATCGCCAATGGCTGGCTCGTGCCGCCGAACGCAGAACACACTGCACGTGGCCGACTGGGCTCCCCCCTCCCCATCCATCCATCAAACGAGCATAAAACGACCGTTTGTAAAACGCTTCACGGATGGCTGACAGGATATGCCCAGCACAAAGCTCATCTTAGCCTAGGCCATATCGTGTTTGCTTTCTGCCTGCGCTTTCGACGGCCATGGCAGCTCAGTCCTGTTGCTTTGCTGCCCGTGCTGCCCGTGTTCACCGTCAGTCCTTATTGAGACGCGGGTACGAGACATCTCCAGGTTTGAAAGTCGGCGGTACTACGCATGAAAACCTGCACGACCTCAGGAAGCTCCAATCAATCTTGTCACCACTCGCTTTGGCGGTCTCGGCCAGCAGCGACGGTGTTCCCGCCGTACATTCGCGCCAAACAGAGCCCTTGATCCGCAAGCCTTG